TTTGACTTAATTGCCCTAATTAACATTGATTTTGGAATTTTGCTTATGAATAAGCATGTTCTCTTTTTACATATAAATTACAGAGGAAGGCATTTCTTAATGATTCATCTAAGCATATGTGACTTACTTTAAATTAATCATTATTTGTATAAATGTTGATTTGTCAACAAAAACCTAAGTGTTAAATTTAGTGACGTGGCCACAAGTGAATATATGAAGCGCAGTTTAGTGATATCAGAAATGTTAAGGTACTCACTCTTTTTTTAGTTTTAAATTTAGTTTATTTGCCCAATGAATTATACATTTGACTTACTTGCAAATTAAAATAACCTCATCTTTAAAGAATAATTAAAATACATTACATGTTTTTTAGTCCAAATGAGAGAGAAGTTAGAGAAATATTTAATTATATGTGTTAGATTAATAAACTATTTATTTATTTTTATTTTTATTTTTGAGATGGAGTCTCACTCTGTCACCCAGACTGGAGTGCTGTGGCATGATCTTGGCTCACTGCAACCTCTGCCTCCGAGGTTCCAGTGATTCTCATGCCTTAGCCTCCTAGGTAGCTGGGATTACAGGCGTGCGCCACCACGCTCACACCCAGCTAAGTTTTGTGTTTTCAGTGGAGGTGAAGTTTGTCTACTAACCTTGTCTCTACTAAAAACGATGAGGCTGTTGGCCAGGCTGGTTTCGAACTCCTGACCTCAGGAATGCCATGCCAATCTCTTCTGTGGATGTTTTTAATCACCTCTTTTCAAGTACGTTTATCATAGACAGATTAAGAGCAAGGTGATGTAAGCAGCTCAGGTTGTAATTGTCCTCTAGGCAAATCAAGTTCCTAAAAAAATAACAAAACAAAAAAATTGGAAGGCGTCAACATTTGGAATGAGTTTTAAACTTTCATTTACTTCTAATAGCTTAACTACTGTCAAAATGAATCACAGTTTGGAATTGCACCCTTTATTCATCGTGGAATTTCCAAGTAACGTATCTGTGTTGCATTCTAAAGCACATACTAAAAAAGTAAAATTCTTACTTCTTCCACTTATTATTTTTACCCCACTGTTTTATTGTTGCTAAAGTAGTTTCAGCCTCAAAATATATTATAAAAAGACCACCCAGTTATGTATACTTCTATTTAACTGAGATGGGACAAGCTCTTGGATAATTGAAATTTATCAGAGGGCCCAAACTTGTTTTTGTTTTTCTTCGTGCTTTTTTGTATCATTTCTCCCTCTTTTAAGCTCTGCTTATGTTTTGGGATTTATTCAGGGACACTACTTTTAAGATACCTTGTCTGTTGTAATATTAGGCAGTTATGAATTTTCATAGTTGCTGCCACTTCATTAATACAAAGAAAAAAAAGCCCATAGCTTTTAACATTTTCTTGGTTAGAGGACTTGGTATTTTGTATAGTTACATTTGGATCAAATTCTTATTTTTTTCTTTGGAAATATTAGTAATGTGATAAATGCTAAATAAGAGTGCTGTAATTACTTTGGTAATGGATCAAGTTAGTATGTAGTATAGAGCTACCAAATTAGGGAGACTGTAGTGCCAGTTTGAGTTTCTTCTTTATTGGGTATATATAATTCTCCAACATTATTTGAAATGTAAGAAATCTTCATTGGGCATCACAGTGTTACAGTTTAGTTTAAATATATTCAAGCACAGTAAGAGATTTGCATTCTTAATGATTGTGCTCATCTTTATTTGGGATTAAATTATTAATCTTGGATTAGCCATGCAAGAAAAGTCACAGAAGTTGAGATAATTGAGTTTAAGGTAAAGGTTTACCTCAGAAACTTACCAGCTGTGTGATTATCAGCAAGTCATTTTTTCTGGATTGCTTTTTCAGAGCTCTAAGATGATACTATTTTACATTTTTATAGCAAGATTGTTTTTATAGATGGAAATTGTTTATATGTCTTGTGTTATTCAAAATTATTACATGAATACATCAGCAATTACTGTTTGGTAATAAATATACTTAATTTAAAGTGACTATTTTAGATAATTAAAAATATACCTAACACATGAGAAGAAATTTATAAATATAGAGAAATGCAGCCATACCATTGTGTGATAATTGGCATTATACCATGTGATGTTAATTGCTCTCTGGGTATGAAGACAGTTTAAATTGATGGAGTCATAACAGATGTTTGAAGATTTAAATTATTATCAAAATGGTAAATAATTAAACACCTTTAAAAGAGTTAAAAATATGAACTTACAGTATTAATATATATACTTGAAAAATTAATTCAAAACTAGATGAAACATTTTTTAATTACCTAAAAGATGAGTGGAATGAAGAATATGTGGAAATGTATGGAAGTCTTTTGCACATTGTTTAGAAGTTTATAGAACGCAAATGAGTAATTTGAATATTTTCCACTTGATATTGATTACTAATTTGTAGTACCTTATTGAAATGCCCTGTAGGCCAGGTACAGTGGTTCATGCCTGTAATCCCAGCACTTTGGGAGGCCAAGGCGGGCAGATTGCTTTAAGTCAAGAGTTTGAGATCAGCCTAGCCAACATGGTAAAACCCCTTCTCTATAAAAATGCAAAGATTAGCCAGGCATGTTGGTGCACACCTGTAATTCAAGCCACTTGGGAGGCTGAGGTATGAGAATCACTTGAACCTGGGAGGTTGCAAATACTAATGTAGTTACAGTTCTTTTAAACATTTGTATGCATTCTGTCTAATGATAAATGTATTCTGAATTATAGGATGTGAATTTTAGCTAAATTCGTTTAAAATGTCATTTTAGATGGCATTTTAATTAGTTTTATGTTAACTAGGACTTTGGATTGTGAGACCTTTTCTTGTGCTCTTTTTGGCTGCTTAAAAATTATTTCTTTAAATAAACATGAATGCACATGCATACATGTAGGCAAACAATGTATGTAATATGATCCCAGGTTTAGCATTTCAGCTATAAAAGTCATACATGATAAGTTATAAAATTTTAAATACTGAGTGACAGAGGGAGATTCTGTCTAAAAAAAGTAAAAAGCCCTGTAAATATGCATTATGCAAATTAGATAATAGATTACCAAGTTAGGGAAAAATAGGTTAAACTTTTTGTCAAATTTTTATTTTTTGAGACAAAGTCTCATTCTGTTGCCCAGGCTTGGAATGCAGTGGCTCTATCATGGCTCACTGTATCCTAGATCTCCTGGGCTCAAGTTATCTTCCCACCACAGCCTCCTGAGTAGCTGGGCTATAAACACTCACAACCATGCCTAACTGATTTTTTAATTTTAATTTTTAGTAGAGATGTGGTCTAACTGTGTTGCCCAGACTGGTCTTAAACTTCTAAGTTCAAACAGTCCTCCCACCTTAGCCTCTCTAAGTGTTGAGATTATGGTCATGAGCCATGGTGCCTGGCCCATCAGTCAAATCTTTTAATTTGTGTTATATAGAGTCATCATTTATTAGTTTTGATTTAACCACTTATTTTATTAAAACAAGTTAATTGAGTCTTTATGTCATAAGCATTGTGTTAAGTTTAATTTAATAAAATAAGTTGGGTGTAGAAAGATGAATTAGATATGGTCCTTACCAATTTGGTGATGAATTTTTTAAGAGGACAGAAGATAAAGCATTAGGCACAGAAGGAAAAAACATGAATGTAGAAAGTACTAGCCGTAAGTTTTCAGTTAGAACTTGAATAAGTGTTGTTAAGGACCTTACTACACTGGTGTCCTTAAACCTATGTGTATGTGACCTACTTGGGATTCTTGTTAAAAGACAGATTATAATTCGTGTGTCAGAGTAAGCCTGAGATTCTGCATTTCTAGTAGGCATTCAGGGCATGCCAATGCTCATGGATCATGATTGATATTTAGAGGAGCAAGTCTCAATACTGTTCTTTGGAAGTAAGAATTGTAAATGTAGGATCTGCATTTAAAGACGTTTCCTGGATATAGTCTTCATTTTTCATCCTAATTACTTCCAAAATGTAATTAAAACACACTGGCAATTTAAATTTAAATAGATAGTTCATAAATTTACTTGTTTTGAATGACCAATTTAGTTGACTTTTGGTTATCTAGGGACAGATTAAATGGTATGCAGTTAGCCATGGTATTAAATAAGGGTGGGTTTGGTATCATGAAGAATTTAAATTACAGTAATGTAAGAAAACATTAATATATTTATACCATATTCTGTTTAGAATTACTTGGTACCTACTCTAGCTTGGGAATCTTCCTTGATCTCAGCTGTCCAAGTAATATTTGGGAGCAGTGCCTGCTTTCTAAAACTTCCAGTCTCTAAGGAACAGTGGGAATTACATATGGGAATTACAGAATCTACACAGAGGCTGTGTTGTGGTTGGTGGAGATTTCTAACATATTGGCTGCAAATACAAATGTAGTTACAGTTCTTTTCAACATTTGTATGTGTTCTTTCAAATGGTAAATGTATTCTAAAATATAGGATGTGAATTACAGCTGAATTAGTTTAAAATGTCATTTTATATGGCATTTTAATTAGTTTTACGTTAACTAGGACTTTGGATATGTGAGACCTTTTCCTTCTGCTCTTTTTTGCTGCTTAAAAATTATTTCTTTACCTAAACATGAATGCACATGCATACATGTGGGCAAACAATGTATGTAGTATGATCCCAGCTTTAGCTATAGAAGTCATATGTGATACGTTTTGAAAACTTACTGAGTAAATCATCATTATGGACAATTATGAAATGTTGAGAAAATCCTTTAAAATAATTTTGTAGAGTGCATTTTTTTCTATCAGATACATGTTTATTTAAAAGTAAAGTACTATAAAGTACATTTAATCTTTTACTTTTTATTTCCTATGGCATAAATGGTAATAAAATGCAGTGGTCCAATACAGTATTAATTAGAAATAGCTGATTTTTCAAGTACCTAACTTAAGCAATAACATTTAACATAGGAAATTTATTTTTATCATTCATTAAACATTATATATTGTGTGGATTTTTTTTTTTTTCCAGAGAACCAGAGGACGAAAACGAAGCTTCATTCCTGAGGAAGAAAAACATGAGGTTGGAATAAGTTAAGCACTTTTACACAGTCTTAACTTTGAGAAATTTTCTTGCTTAAAATTGTTTCCCTCATATCTTTATTTTGTTTTGTTATGTTTTATTTTATTATCCCTTGTATGGCAGGAAAGAGTTCCTAGAGAGAGAAGGCAAAGACAGTCTGTGCTGCAAAAGAAGCCCAAGGCTGAAGATTTAAGAACTGAATGTGCAACTTGCAAGGGAACTGGAGACAATGAAAATCTTGTCAGGTAAGTTGTATGCTAAAACCTTGTCTTTAGGGGATTAAGGTTCCGTGTTTATTATTTTCTCATCACAGAAAAAATGTAAAAAAAATTGCAGGGTAGGACCTTTCTTAAAATATTGTTTAGTGGAAACAGTACTTCAGAAACAGATTTCATCTACTTATTAACCTCCCACGCATGGTTATACTCTGGATTTAAATGTAAATAAGAGTGATAATCTGCATTTTTAACACAGGAAATTATTTTTCTCTTCACAAGAGAAGTTGACAATGGTCTCTATTTAGAGGCCATAAAAGTAATTTGATCTAAACACTTTGTACTAAGATTATTATATTTTATGTCAAAACAATTAAGTTACTAAGCTCTGTTAGCATATTCTAAATGTTGAAATTAATAAGCAATGGTGAGAAGACAGACTTTTTGTTGACAAGAATTTAATTAGCACTTTCTTATTGCTTATTAAAACAAATGTGTTAAATGCTTCTCCCTGACGAAATAAAGAAAGGTGAAAAGATGGCCTAGGTAGATTTTATTTTTTGTTTTGTCCTTGTTTCTTTGTTTCGTTTTGTGACTTTTTTTTTTTTTTAAATCAGACATAATGCTAATCAGGAATCTTGGCTGATGCTCCACATTGGGTCTTCCCAGCAGTCCAGAGATTGCTAATTTTAGCTGAAATGAAGAAATTGATCAAAGTTCTGGGTGAGATGGGGGAGTGAGTAGGTGAACAAAAAGAGAGCTGATTTAAAAGAGGCATCAGACTTCCAAAGGACGGTGGCACAAAGGTTCCTACAATTCTTATAGGGACTTTGTAAGGGAACCCGTTCTGATTTCTTTAAAAAATTGTCTTCTGGTTAAGCCCTGTTAAATTAACTGAGGACATAGAAATTAAACATTTCAAAAAGAATAAGCATATTGATAAAACAAATATGTTAGTATTATGTTTTTAAATATTTATTTCCACATGTAATCTATTTCTGTCATTAAGAATATAATTTGTCTTCTTTCTCTAAGAAACACATGAAGGCTTAAATTTTATACCACCAATGAGAAAGATAAAGTAAAAATTACAGTAAAGACAAAGTCCTTCAACAAAGTTAAGAAAGTTTATAGTAATTGGCTAATGTTTTTGAGGCAGTTCATAGGAGCTATCCTGAAGATTAAGTTTACTAAAATTTAGGGTGAAGTAGTAAGTAGTTCCAAGTTCAGGAGATACATGTGCATAATTCTGACTGCAGTAAGATTTTTGCAGTATGTCAGAAATGAAACCCCAAGCATAAGCATAACATAATGGAGTAAAGGAAACAACAAAAATAAAAAAAAAAATAACAATCTTACGTAATGAACAATTTAATTCAGGAAAATTCCCTTGGGGTTGAAGATGGAGTTGAGGGCTATGATTAATTTGAAACAGTAATTAAAAACTTAGAGAGCTTGTGATCCTCTTATTAATTATTTGAACCTATATAAGTATCTAGTGTATCTTACTGATTTTTTTTTTTAAATACAAGATTGATTGAGGCCTTTTCACTGGAGGACCTATAAGTTTTTGTTGTGATTTTGTCATATGTTTGAAATTAGGAACCCGAAAAATAAAATTTTTATTTTAAAAACCAGTTTATGATACATATCTAGCCTGTCATATTTTAGTTGTTTAATAGAAAAAGTACCTTCTAATTTTGATATTTGATTAGTATTACTCTATATTATTTATTTCTTTAGTTTCTGTTATAAAATTTTTATTTCTAATTGAGTTATTACAATATACCAATGTCTGGAATTTTATGAAAGTCTTCTGTAAGGTAAAGATATTTTTATTACTCTGAAATAATGGATATACAAAGTCCCCTTCCTTAGTTTTGTTTTATTAAGAAGATAGCATCATATATTTTCTGCAAAGTTTTAAAGAAGTAATGTAGAGGAAATTAAATGTTTTATTGATACCATATTTTAATATTTTTAGGACAAGATAAACTGGATATAAAGCAATGTCATAAAATATTTTTGGACATAATGTGATCTTTAAAACAAAATACATTGTTTAAGTACTATTCGTCTTGGGTTAAAGAATTTTATATAAAATAACCTATGTTTAATAAAAGCAATCTTATAAGCCAATATCTGCCATTTTCCTTGGCATCTCATATTTTGAAATTGGCACTGTTACTGTTTGAAAATCACCCCCAAAAGTCTACACTTTTTTATTACATCTTAAATATTATTTATACATACTATTTTTTAAACTTTCAAATAAGGTATTTTAAATAAGGATTTTTTTTTTCTCTAAAGATATATTTCAGTGCTTATTCAGAGATATGTGTATGTCTGTTAGGTTCTCTTTTAAAATTAAACTTCATGGGTCACAGTCTTTTATTTAATATACTGTGTTTACTTTCTCAAGTTCTTTTAAACTAATGTTTACATCTCACTAGAACCTGCTCTTCAGCAGTTTTGATTTTTGAAACCACACTTCTCTATGTAATTCAGGCTATATAGAAAATTCCTTCTTAATTTTCCTTGCTTTTTAAGTTATTTGTACAAGTTTATTTGTGAATATACATGTATCCTTTTTTATAACATTGAAGAATTGCATGCAATTTGTTAGTAAACTGTAATTAGTAGGTTTTGACTCTTATTTTCTGCTTTGCCTGTTTTTCTGGGGACTTCGGCAAATATTTAGCATTTCTGTGCCTTGGTTTTCTCCCTGTTGCACATGATCACAATCATACTGTGCTTCATTAGGTACCTTATGAAGAACTGCTGAGTGATAGTAAGGTTCTTTTCATATGAAATGTTAGAACAGTAGTATTATTTAGTGACACATAATACATGTATATGTGTCACAATTGGTAAATATGTTTCCAGTTATAATAAATATTTATTTTTTATGTCAGAAATGTACATGTCCTGTTTTTGTATATAATTTTGTCTAGAATCTAGGAGACAAAAAGAAATTTGTCATTATATGTTTTCTAAAATGATTAGATTGAAGGTTTACAGCATCTCAGGGAATTTTATTTCATTTTTTTAAGTGCGCACTTTTGCCATCTGCTTTTAAAATTTAATTAGAAATTATCTGAGAAGTTTTCAACTAAATATATATTTCTTTAGGTTATTTAATGCAATCTAAATGCTAAAGGCCAAATTGAAACTATTTCATGCAAGGTCTTTTTAGGCTCTGTGATAGGTCATTGTTGGACGTATTTATGGAACTACTTAGTCATACCTTATTTATTTTTGTTTCCACAGTTCATGGCACATTCAGTACTCAGAAAATGCTTGATAAACGAACCCTACATGAGTAATGACTGAGTATTCTTTTGCTGAATTTAAAAACACCTGTCACTATTATAATTCAATTCTAGAGCAAATTGAGTCATAAAATAAAATGTTTGATGAAGATATCTAAGGGCTTAATAAAGGATAATTGACTTTTGCTGCTAAAATGTAGTGGATAGTTTTTCCTCCCCTGTATTTTAAGTAAATACATAGATTTGAGATTAGTTGATGCATCTGTGAAAAGTAGAAATGAAGTGATTCCTTGAAAGGGAAGAGGGCCTTTATTCTCCCTCAGTCTTTATCCAACTACCAAATTAGGAATAACACCAGACTTCTAAACCTCAAATTTTATCTTAACTATATAAACTCAGTGTGGCACATTTTATTACTTAATCAGAGATAGGAGAGAGAGAGAGAAGAAAAGTTTCCTAAAGCTAAGAACCCTGTAATCCATGAGCCCTGTTAAATAGCATCTTTAATTTTATTTTGTATTGTGGCCATAATTCAGAAGCATTGAGGGTAGAAAATGATCTATTAAGCTATTTCACTTTTATAGCTAATTCTACACTATTAAATGCTTGCCACAGACTCCCCTTTATTTGAGTATATTGCAAATTATATAGGTATTTAACCATTTTGGTTACAAGGGTAGGTTGTCAATTTGGTCTCTAAATGTTGTTGTTAACACTTTTATTTATTTCACATTTAAAAATCTGGCTTGTCAGTGCATCCTCACAAACTAAATTTGATTTTATTATAAATTATTAAGATGACCAGCGAAAATTTATGTATATTACAGTTTAATTTCAAATACTAGTCTCTTATTTTTCTGAACCTAGAGTTTTCATTGTGGAAAAGTTTTTGATAATAAATTCAATATTTAGAACAAATATTTTCTTTCATTTTGTGTTATTTTTGGTAATCTGTTTGTTTTTGTTTGAGACAGGGTCTTGCTCAGCTGCTTAGACTGGCATGCAGTGGCACGATGACAGCTCACTGCAGCCTGAACTCTTAGGCTCAGGTGATCTTCTTTTCTCAGTCTCCTTAGTATTTGGGACTACAAGTGCCTGCCACCATGCCCAGCTAATTTTTTTTAATCTTTTGTAAAAATGGGGTTCTCACTATGTTGCCCAGGCTGGTGTAGAACTTGTGAACTTAAGCAGTTCTCCATCCTCAGCCTCCCAAAGTGCTGGGATTACAGGCATGAGCGACTGTACTCAGCTAAACTGTGTTTTTCAAGGAATGTATTGATGTCATGTCATTTGCTAGTTGCTTCTTTCTTGTGTGTCAGCACCATGGTTTTTTCTTTAGTCATCCTGGTCTTTTCGGTGTTCACTGTAACTATTTGCGTGGGACTTTTCTGCTGTCTGTAATGTATTTCAGCATATTTTCTTCTTCCTTCTAAGCCTACGTCAGTGTTTAGTTCCTTCATGTAGTCTTCCTGACTTAAATGGCTTCATATTGATTGTCTTGCATTGATTGTCCTTGGAACCCTCATAAAGTCCCATGTCATGCTGTGATCCATTTTGCTTGTAAGTTGTGTTGTTATTTCTGTCAATTAATTTACTTTTCCATGAGATGAGTCTAGCATCTGTGCCTTCCGTTTATTTCTAATGACCCTGATAGTCTAATACAATATGGCTCAGGCAGTTAATTCAGAATAAATGCCTGTTAATTTACTGATTACACTGCCATATGTACACCTTTGCAACTCTATATAATTAGAATAG